GCTGGCGCTGGCGGGGTCCCCCGGGGAAGCAGGAAGCCGGATCCATCCCCTGCAGCCTCACGGAGCTCACCCGCCGCCAAGTCTCTCCAGTCCCTTCTCCTGGCCTCGCTTCCCCCTCTCCGGGCCTGCGTTCCTCGCTAGCTCCCTTTGCCTTCCTGCCTTCTCTTCCTCCTTCCTTCCTTCTCTGCCTCCTTCCTTCCTTCTCTGCCTCCTTCCTGCCTTCTCTGCCTCCTTCTCTTCCTTCCTTCCCTGCAGCCTCACGGAGCTCACCCGCCGCCAAGTCTCTCCAGTCCCTTCTCCTGGCCTCGCTTCCCCCTCTCCGGGCCTGCGTTCCTCGCTAGCTCCCTTTGCCTTCCTGCCTTCTCTTCCTCCTTCCTTCCTTCTCTGCCTCCTTCCTTCCTTCTCTGCCTCCTTCCTGCCTTCTCTGCCTCCTTCTCTTCCTTCCTTCCTTCCTTCCCTCCTTCCTTCCTTCCTTCTCTGCCTCCTTCCTTCCTTCCTTCTCTGCCTCCTTCCTTCCTTCCTTCTCTGCCTCCTTCCTTCCTTCCTTCTCTGCCTCCTTCCTTCCTTCCTTCTCTGCCTCCTTCCTTCCTTCTCTGCCTCCTTCCTTCCTTCTCTGCCTCCTTCCTTCCTTCTCTGCCTCCTTCCTTCCTTCTCTGCCTCCTTCCTTCCTTCTCTGCCTCCTTCCTTCCTTCTCTGCCTCCTTCCTTCCTTCTCTGCCTCCTTCCTTCCTTCTCTGCCTCCTTCCTTCCTTCTCTGCCTCCTTCCTTCCTTCTCTGCCTCCTTCCTTCCTTCTCTGCCTCCTTCCTTCCTTCTCTGCCTCCTTCCTTCCTTCTCTGCCTCCTTCCTTCCTTCTCTGCCTCCTTCCTTCCTTCTCTGCCTCCTTCCTTCCTTCTCTGCCTCCTTCCTTCCTTCTCTGCCTCCTTCCTTCCTTCTCTGCCTCCTTCCTTCCTTCTCTGCCTCCTTCCTTCCTTCTCTGCCTCCTTCCTTCCTTCTCTGCCTCCTTCCTTCCTTCTCTGCCTCCTTCCTTCCTTCTCTGCCTCCTTCCTTCCTTCTCTGCCTCCTTCCTTCCTTCTCTGCCTCCTTCCTTCCTTCTCTGCCTCCTTCCTTCCTTCTCTGCCTCCTTCCTTCCTTCTCTGCCTCCTTCCTTCCTTCTCTGCCTCCTTCCTTCCTTCTCTGCCTCCTTCCTTCCTTCTCTGCCTCCTTCCTTCCTTCTCTGCCTCCTTCCTTCCTTCTCTGCCTCCTTCCTTCCTTCTCTGCCTCCTTCCTTCCTTCTCTGCCTCCTTCCTTCCTTCTCTGCCTCCTTCCTTCCTTCTCTGCCTCCTTCCTTCCTTCTCTGCCTCCTTCCTTCCTTCTCTGCCTCCTTCCTTCCTTCTCTGCCTCCTTCCTTCCTTCTCTGCCTCCTTCCTTCCTTCTCTGCCTCCTTCCTTCCTTCTCTGCCTCCTTCCTGCCTTCTCTGCCTCCTTCTTTTCCTTCCCTCTCTGCCTCCTTCTCTTTCTTTCTTTCTTTCTTTCTTTCTTTCTTTCTTTCTCTTGCTCTTTTTGTTCTTTTTCTCGATTCTCTCTTTACTTTTCTTCCTGTCCCATCGGACCCCCCCCTCCCCCCAGTGCTGAGGTTGCCTAAGGCCCTTGCGTGGCCGCTCCCGAGGATGGGAAGGGGGGAGCTCCCTTTGGGCAGGGAGGGGGCTGCTCGGACCCATGCGGGCCGATGGAGAAGCGGAGGGGGGTTGGAGTCAGCCCCACCCTCGCTCCGGTCCAGGCAAGTCTCTGACTCTCCCCCGCTCTGTCCACAGGGAGCGAAGTGTCCCAGGAGGGTTTGCTGCTGCACGGGCCCTTCGCCCGGAAGCCCAAGCGGATCCGCACGGCCTTCTCCCCTTCCCAGCTCCTGCGGCTGGAGCGGGGCTTTGGGAA